GCCCTCAAATGATTAAATCCTATATATATACACACACACACAAAAGAAAATGTTAATTGAATATATGAATATGTATACTAAATTAACAATGACGATGTGAGCATCTGAAGAAGATCGACCTGTTATTTTTAAAATAAATTTTATCCATTGAACGACTATCCTTCCACTCACATATCCTATATTGGGTGAAAGATTTCTAATTTAAAAATAAAGCTATATATAATCATGTTTTTGGTCACATCAATTTGAGCAATTAACATAATGGTTGATGAATTGTTTTTCACTTCTTTTCTCTTATATATAAAGTCAATTACATTTTGTTTGTTTTTAACCAAGAAAAACTGAATTTGATTAATATGCTTCAATACTTGGTTATTATAAAAATATGCTTCATGATTTTTATTATAAAAAATATGCCACCGTTACTTGTGTTATAGCAACGGATTGTTATGGGGAATTCTCCTTAGCTCATGTTTGGCACTATCTTGTTCAATAAACAAGTAGCATACTATTCATTGATGACAGAGAAAAAAAATAAATATAAAATACTGTTCAAAAGTTGTACGATCGAACCCAATGGTTACTTGCTAGTTATTTATACGTATAGAGTAGGCAAGAAGATTTTACGTTGGGATCATCCACTAGAACATACACTTCCTTTTCCATCGATACATGAGTGTTCAAAAGATGCATATTCATATCAAAATCCTAGGCATATGAAGTACAAACCTCGTTGCTTCATGGCAAATTGGGAAAACAGGGAAGCGCCGAAGCGGTGGGTGCGATTTGTTTTGTTTTGTTTTCTTTCAAAACCTTGTATTTGGGCTCTAATATTTGTATACTATTTTTTTAATAAAAAAGTACAAGATAACCGAAATGCCTCTCAACTTAACGATAGAATAAGGTGACGTTTGTTTTTAAGAGGTGCTGAAATCTGAAGTTTGATTTATAAGAGATGTGCTGAAGTCCAAGATCTTGATCAGTAAAATTGTTTGTTTTTACTTCTGAAGTATGAAATCTGAATCGTGCAAACTAGTACAAAAATATAAAGAATATATTGTTATTAGGTCGGTCACTTGATTTGGGGTAATACATATGATAAGCGCATATTTGAACACATTTTTATAATAAACCATGTGCATACTAGGACGATTTTACAGAGCATATATCTCGAAAATATTACAAGCCTCGGCATACTTTCTGAAGAAATCTAAGGTTCGACATACTTTTCAAATGATGTCTAGATGGAGCATGCGAATACAAATGTTTTTATATAAGGATGGAAAAGGGTTTTTATCAGATTTTAGGGATCCTCTTTGCTTGGGTTGAAGACAGAAATGAATGACCAAGCAAATTTTTGCGGCGACCATCAACACACCTTAGTCTTTATCCGCTTACCAAATCATTCACGTGCCCGACTAGTATAACCGCCCCAACTCGCTTTATACACTCAATTCGACCCTAATTTCACACGTGCAACTTTCTTGGCGGCTTTAGCCGCGACACAAGTTGTCGGCGACCACCGAATCATGTCTTTTAAAGGGGGAAGAAAATCAGAAATTGGGGAGGAACATCAAGATCAAATCTAAAGTATTTTCGGAAACGAAATTTGGAGGTTCATCTAGGGTTTTTCATGTTTCGCTTATTTCAATCAACTTGTAAGTTTTAGATATTAGTTATGAGTAGCTAATTCTCCATTTCTAGTTTTAAGTAGATAAAACTTGTTGATTTGGTTGTGTTGAGACTTGTTAAATGTTCATCCTATTTTTTAATTTCCGTTTATGCAAATTTGTTTATTTTGATTTACCAATTTTGGATTGTTTATTTGAGTAAGTGCCCTCACTTTTCTACTATGATTTTGATTTGTTAATCAAGATTATGATTCTGCAATTGTGTCCAACTTTGATAAGTAACAAGTGACATTGCGGTTGCTAGTTAGATTAATCATTTCATGTTGTAGTTTGTATAATTTAGTCCAAATGGTCGACGTCTGCTTGTTGGTTAAGAATGGTGCTTATTTGAATTTAATGCAGTTGGTAATCGAGTTTAATTAGGTGCGTATTTAGACTTCATTATATTAATTGGTTAGGTTCTATGTATAGAGCTTCTCATACTAGCTACTTTTAAAGGATAAGCAAGGTGTTGATGCTTATCAATACAAAACAAGGAGCTTTTTCCGGCGGAAAAATTCGCTAGAAAAATGGGTTTACCGGCAAATTTCGTTGCCGAGAAAGAGAGCACCAGAAAACACGATTTCCTACAAAATTCAGGCGAATTCCAACCGCTGAAAATCCGCCACGAACTTCTAATAAAAGTGTTTTATAAAGAATATAAACTAAAGTTTCTACAAACGTGCTAAAAAGTGTAGGTGACCTAATTTTTTTAATTTGGAAATATATATATATATATATATAACTAATTAAACAAGATACTTGAAATTATATATAATAATATTATAATTCATTTTGACTCGAACTCGATTCGAATACTTTGACAACATTATTGAATATATTCCAACATACCTACCTTTTAATCGTTTGCATTATTAACTTCTTTAATAATTCCATCTCATTATGGGAATATATACTAATTAAGTAGTTAACCTTTTCATTCCAAGTAACTCATTGTCTTTGTATAAATAAAAGAAAATTATATAAAAATATTAATTCTAAATTTATTTATTTCCTGGTAATTCCAAACATTTTTTTTATTTTTTTTAAAAGATGATACTTTAGTATATAATGATATCGATTACTTTTAAAATAACACATACAATAACTATAAAAGTCCTATTTGAATCAGGCTTTCTATATCTACACGTATATATACATGGATCATATATATGTACGTGTCCATACTACATATAATATGGTCTCTAAGATGGAAGAAAACGAATTGGATCATATCTTCATGAGATCTTTGTTATTGTGTGCAGTGTGTGTGTATATATATATATATATATATATATATATAGTTTGTTATCCATATCTTGAACCTACCATTTTATCCTCTTTTGATCCTTATCGATATGAATATATATCCAAACATGTGGGGCTCGTGGAGTTAACATATATATATATATATATATATATATA